GAGTTAACCTAATCAAGGTAGTCCTTCATAGCTCTGCCTGGAGGCTTGTTTCCTTGATTGCAGATGCTATCAAATTGATGATCACACGAACTGTCTCAGGCATCTTTTATAAAGCCTATGTTTGTTGTGGTTGGCGAGTGCATTCATCTCCAGTACCAAATGTGCCTGCGTGGTAGTGTGCCTTCATGCTAAGCCGTGGCTTGAGGGCAGACAATCCTTCACTGGGATTCAAGTGAGTGCAGTACTTAAATATGTGATGGGTTAGGAACTGGGATCACGCTTTCATGTGAGCATATAGTTGAGTTCCATCTCAACTGACAGAAGATACCCGTCCAATCTCAATAGCATCCATGAGCTAAAACAAAATGTAAAATATGTGATGAAATAACATTTTAGATTTTGCTTTGATTCAGAGTGATGCACTTTTTTTGATAGCATGATTGTGAGAAACAGGCCCCAACCCTACAATAATGAAGTCAAGAGACTCCAGTATTGAAAGCAGACTATTGGTACTCCAAGTATTGGGCTTCCTGCAGTTCCTTCCTCCAGAACCCGTGCCAGCCCAGACAAACTCTTATACTCACACAGCTGATGTTCAGAGTCCACTTTGGCACAAAGCAGTGGTTTTTATAGTCACAGAGCAAATTCTACCCACTCCTGTGTTCCTTACTGGCGTGGAGCACAGTTGATGATCATCTGTATAGCCCAGCCCCAAACTCGCCATCCTCTGGGGCTCAAGACTCCCTCCCCACTCTGACACATGGTCTCCATCAGGAGGTAAACTGTCCAGTGCACCCTACTCTAGGATGCACTACAAGCTCCTCGCTAAGCAGGTGCCACCTGCTCGGAAAGACAGGGCCAAGGCCTGCTGCTCCTGCTTGTTTGTCATCTGGCAATCTCAAGCCCAGGCACCACTGGCATTGGAATAAGTTGCTTGGATTTTGTTGTCATGGTGAATCAGCCCATTTTTGGCTGTCCTGTTGTATCAGTCTGCATGCCCTGGGTTTTGTTGTCTAATTCTGCTTGTTCTCTTTATATTGCAGTTTATGTGTTCTCCTTTTGGGGCACGGTGGTGTGTCTTTTATATTTTTCTATCACCTTGGAAACTTTGTTGTATGTTATGTGTGTAAGTGCAGGTGCATATGAACCGCAGCACAGGTAGAGAGGTCGAGGCACAACTTCTGGGAGTTGGTTCTCCCCTTCCAGTGTGGTTTTGTGAACCCTGCAGATGGGACTTGAGTCACCAGGTTGTTGTGGCAAGTGCTATATCTAATAAGTCATCTTGCTTGTCCTCTTTGTATTTTTGGATGCCGTGTCTAATCCTTTCTCTGACTTTCATCACTGTGAAACGAGAGAAGGCCATCTGTTTCTTCCTTGTGTTTTATTACTTTCATTTTAGTTGATTTTTTTTCTTTAGTTACCTTTGAATCTTTTGAATATGTCTTAGAAATCTTTTACTTGGGTTTTAGGTTCTATATGTTTGCCTATGCACTATTCCGTAGCAAAGCCTCCGCTCCGCAGCTGACTCCTAGTCTCTCTCTCGTCTGTCCTTTCCTCTTGTGTTGTGTTGCGGACATAGTCCTCACTGTTAGGAATTTTTCCTAATGCGAGCTCTCTGCTGGCCCAAAAAATCCCAATCAAGCCAAATCACAACAAGCCAAATTAAAATATATCCAGGTTTAATGGGATTCCTGTGCTCTCAGGTGGCCCAGAGCAGGAACCAGGAGGCCGCTAGCTCGACCACCAGGAGCAAGGAAAAGAGACCCTGTGTTTCTCCTTTGGGAGCTTGCTTAAATACCCTGTGGGAGTGGTCCTGACCACTGGGATTTGGAGTCCAGACCAATACAACTCTCAGACCTGGGGGCTATGCTCCCAACTTAACAGCCACTTTTGCTCTGAGAGTCTGTGACTTGCTTCAGTGCCATAATAGCCCCCTTGGCAGGACTTGTTTATGTATCCATTTGGCTGAAAGTCAAAGTAGTTTCCATTTTGAAGCAAAAGACTTTTATTTAAAAGTTTTACATAAGAGTCTGTATGTAGCTACTCCATGATTCCATTTATGTGACCTGTCTAGGGTAGGCAAATTCCTGGAGACTAGAAGTAGGTTACTGGTGGCCAAGGCTGGGGATGGGGTAATGGGGAGCAGCTGCCAATGGGGAGAGGTTTCTTTTGGTGGTGATGAAAATGATCTGGAATTAGACCATGGCATTGTAGCATGACTTTTAAACACCCTACCTGCCATTCCTTGACTACACAGCAACTGGTGGATTGTGTGGCATGCGAATTACATCTCAGTTGAAAACACCTGTCTGAGGCAGGAGACGCAAATAGTCCCGAGGCTTCACAAAGAACTGCCCTTGCTCGAAGTAGCTACAGCCAGCTTTTAGATGATTTCTTATAGATTTGGCCTTCCTACTTTTACTTCTCCTTCTGCACTGTAAGGCACACTGGTTCGTTGTTCCCTTTTGTGATATTAAGATCAATATTAGCTAGCTTATCTAAAACCTGCCAGTGTTTCAGTTGGTGAGTTCTAGCAGTAATTGCTAACTGTTGCCTAGAGCTTAGAAGGGCGGCAGAATCCGATCGTTGCTTAAAGCATAGTGCTGTGGACCACCTCATTGAAGCGCATGTGGGGAAGCAAGATACTGTTGAATTCTTCCCCTCCTGTTCTTTTGGTTTGTGTATTTGTCTATTTCTGCACATGACCAACGCCATGGTGTTGTAGTCTGCAACAGTACAGTTAACTTTCTACATCAGCGTTTGCTCTGCAGCCTGGAGAAATTTGCTTACTAGTTCAGCAGCCTTTCTGAAGATTTTCTAAGGACCTTATGCATATATGACAATGCTGACTGCGATCAAGGAGATTTTAATGTTCCCTGTCCCACCCATTATTGTGTCTAATTAGGTTGACTGGAAACTCCAGCAGATGAAAGCTAAGAATAGCTAGGGGAAGGCATCAGGTGTTCCTCAGGAAGATGTCAGTCTCGAGCCTTCCTTCGTGGAAGTTGACTCCTTATCATTTTTGTGAGGGACCTGCCTGTCTTTGCTGTCCCACTCCCCGCAGTGCTAGAGTTAATAAACAGCATGTGTAGCCATGTTCATCTTTTCACATAGGTGCAAAGTTCTTCTGGGGACCGTGTAGCTACTTCAGTCGTGGTCCGCTCACCCCTTCCAGGCGATGTGCGGTCAGCTGCTCCCTCCCTCCCTGTTTCCTCCAGTCACTGTCCTGGGGGGGGGGGGTCAGTTGTACAGTATCTGAAAACTTTTGTGTGTTTTGTCAGGTTTTGGAGGGTCAGATGGTAAATCTGGACTCCATGAGTGTTGAGGGAGCTGCGGGCCTCTTCCCACAGCCCGGCTCCTGGCCGCTTGGCTAGCTTATGCCCAAAAATAACAACACACAAACTGTATTCTTTTAAACACTGCTTGGCCCATTAGCTCTAGCCCTTACTGGCTAATTCTCATATCCCGATCAACCCATCTCTAATAAACTGTGTAGCACAAGTCTTACAGGGAAAGATTCAGCATGTCTGACCTGGCGGCTTGCTTCATTGCCTCTGGCTCTGAGAGGAGCTGCATGATTTCTGAGCTCACTTCCTCTTCCTCCCAGCATTCTGTTCTGTTTACTCTACCTATCTAATTTCTGCCCTATCAGATGGGCCAAGACAGTTTCTTTATTTAATTAACCAATGACTTTCCTCCATCACATGAGTCCATCACTGGTGGAGAGGCAGCCATGGTGACTTCACACCAGGGCTGCTGAAGGCTCTGCTAGACTTCCCACTGGCCATCTGTGCCTTAGGGTCCTTCCTTGCTGACCTTACTATGTGTCACTCTGAAGTTTCCTCATCTCTTTCTTCTTTGTAGTCATGAATGAAGCTGTCAGAGGAGCCCTTAGCAGGGGCTAGAGACATTTTGGTTGTAGGCAGCAGCTGATTTCTTGCTGTAACTGTTTAGAATACTCGCCACTGCCTTGGGGCCTTTGGAGTGAAACAGCTTAAGAAGTTCTAGTGCTCTCTGGGTTCCTCTTTTATAGCTTCTGCCATGCAGATCCCAACTGAACCATTGACTTGCCGGATGCACGAACCCCGTAGCACAGTGCCGCTCACACCTGCTGCTCATTCCTTTTCTTCTTGTGTTCTTACTCTGATTTTGTAACTGGTGTCACATATATAAAAACCGTCAGCCTTTAAGATATAATGACTGGTTTCTTCAATAATCTTTAATACATTGAAGAAAGAAAAGAACTGTAGTAACTCTGGAATCACATTTGAAAACAATAAGCAGGGTATCCAGTACTGACCCAATTTCTGGTTTCTGAGACTGGTTTACCATTTAGTCCAGGCTGGCCTGGGACTCATGGTCTTCCTCTTTTGGTTTGTGGGTGCTGGGGTTGCAGACCTGTGCTGCCCCAGCTGGCTCCGAATAGTCCTTTTAAAGGCTCTCGGTCCTGCCTTGCTGGCCTGGGGAGGAGCTGCTGACAGCCTGTGTCAGTACTGCTAAGAGCAGAGAGCTCGGTCGGAACATCTTTCCTTTTAGGAGGTAATTTTTCTTGCTAAATATGTCATAAGAACTTGAAGAATGATTTTGATTTCTCATTTTAAAATGACTGCCAACTGAGCCAGACTGTTTAACATGTCAAAGTTAGAGCACATGGATTTGTCAATAAATTTAAATGTGCAAGTAGTTGCCATTACTACTAAACTGTTTGAGTAATATATTATATTCACATTTTAAATGGATATTGATCTTCATTCAGTGACTAAATTGGAGCATCTCAATTCTTATGAAATTGCTGACTCTTTTCCACTTTGGAGGTATACAGCCAGACATAAATTCTGGCCAACATTCCATGGATCCTTTTTCTCATTTTTGCTTCTTTATGCAATACTTTTTGGGAAGTAAGAATACTTTGTGGAAACTAAGATTAGCAAAGTACACTGTCCTAATAAACAAAAACAAAGTTAAAACACACACCCCATGTCCTTGGTTGTATCTTGAAGGTACCTGAGTTTTATTCAATTGCCCTTGACTCAGAGAAAGTTCTGTCGAAGTTGCCAACAATTGCTGTTACCTGTGGATTGGGGGGAGCATGGTGAGCACCAGCTGTTGCCTGACATCTCCATCACCCAGCTCCGGAGGCCCAGTCAGCTGCTCTATCCACTGGAGAACAAGAAGACACACGCCCAGTACCTGTTTACAGATAGGAGCTGCCAGTTTCTGGCGGGCCTCCTTGCTACCCTCGGATTCAGAAGAGTACTGTGTGTTGGAACACCAAGGTATGGTCCGCTTTATATGCGTTCTCCTCGCAGCACTACGTTATCCTTACAAAACGTTCTATGAAGTGGTTCTGTACTGTGCAGAGTGAGGCGTGAGCTCTGGATGTAAGAGGACATGGAAAGTGTGGCCTCTAAGAGGGTTTGCAGCCCATAGCCCGTTTGAGAGAAGGCTTGTTGTAGGGTGGATGCTTTCCGATCTGAGAATGAAATGTTTTATGTTAGATTTCTCTGTTAAAGTTCTGCCCTTTAAAAAATATCTGTAAAACTAAACTGGGCCAGATTCTCTGCAGTGTTTCATTGAAATGGATGTTTCATTGAGATGGGAGAAGAACAGCTACGGGTTTTGTTTGATGATGGTCTGTGGCATTTGTAGCTTCTTATTAGATTGGTTTTCATTACTTCCTTCAGGCTACACGAGCACATCAGACTGACAGCACCAGGTGAAAAGTCCAACACAAAAAGCCTCTTATTGGATATTGATTTTCGGTAGGTTTATAATATAATATCTCTTCTTTATTGTTTCATTTCTTTCTGTGATTTTTCCTCTCTAACCATTCATAACCTGTCACACTCTTTAACCAACACTCAGTAGTCGTAGGTTGTGAACATCTTGTTGGTCGTGCAAAGTCAACACGCAACCTGTGGGATCTCACATAAGCTGGCAGTTGGTTTCTCTTTTTTACTACTGTGTCACCGACTCTCCTCTGGGAATGTGTCTCCTTGTATGTGACTCAGAATTAGAGATGCCTTCTCCTATGTACAGTCTTTTCTAATGTAATAATACTTCCAGGTAAACTGAACTGCCTCATTGTGGTCAGATTTTTGGGACTTTGTTTCATCTTCAGATCTTGGTCATGTGATGAGACATTTTAAAAATACTGTCTTACCAGATGATGTGCACACTGCTTCCTAGGTGCAGCCCAAGTGGCCGGAGGGCTAACTCGGAGGAGGCAGGTCTTGGCTGAGGGCTAGAAAGCCAGGTGTGTTTGTGAGAGATAGCTGTGTGAGCGCTGGATGGCACTTCTGTTGGGATGCACCCCGGTGCTGACTTACAGTGTAAATGGTACAAGGTCCATCACTGCCCGAGTAGGCTGAGTTGAAATGTCCCTCTTAGTTTCTGTAATTGTTTGAGTACTGCCTCATAGAGACTTTATGAGACAATTATTATTGTCTCATATTGTGGAATATATTAGAGGGATCAGGCTTTGCGTCTTTCATTTAGATCTGATAGTATCTGTTTGATCAGTGCTACAGTATTTGTTAGGATATATGACTTAAATATGCTTTCTCTCCCTGCAAATAAGGCAGGTTTAGAAAATTATTTATATGTATAAGTGTTTCTTTGCATGTAATATGGACATCATATGTGTGTCTGGTACCCAGGGAGGTCAGAAGAGGGTATCAGATCTCCTAGAACTGGATTAAGGATGGTTGTAAGCCACCATGTGGATGCTGGGAACTGAACAAGTGTTCTTAAACAGTGGCAATCTGTGCAGCTCCAAAGCAGTCTTTTTTTTTTTAATTTAATTTTTTTATTTGGTTTTATTTCATGTGCATTGGTGTTTTGCCTACATGTATGTCTGTGTGAGGGTGTTAGATCCTTTGGAACTTGATCCTTTAGAACTGAGTTGTGAGGTGCCATGTGGGTGCTGGGACTTGAACCCTGGTCTTCTGGAAGAGCAGGCAATGCGCCTAACCACTGAGCCATCTCTCCAGCCCCCAAAGCAGATTCTTAAAGCATAAAATGTCACATGAAACAGCACAGCTGTGGGGCTGGGAAGATGGTGCAGGGGTTAAAGAGTGGGAATAGGGGGGTATGTATGCCTGAGGCCCCGAGTTTAGGTAAAGGTGGGTATGACGGAATGAACTGTGAGGCAGAGATGGGAGTTTCCCTAGGGCTTGGTGGCCAGCCAGCCTCACTGAGAAGGTGAGCTTCAGATTCAGGAGGAGACCCTGTCTCCACAAGTAAGGTGGAGAAATGATTGAGGAAGGTTGCAAGACTGCCAGTGTTAAGCCTTGACTTTCTCACTTACCACACACCCATCACCTCCAGAAGTACAGATTTTATGACGTATTTTTCTTTATAATTCCAAGTCAACTATACTATCTGCAGCAGCAGATCCTGGTTCTTCATCCCGCTAGCTGAGCCACAGGAGCAGGATTGGCCCATTAACCACTTATCCCTATTGACAGAACTTGTCTGTGTGTAACAGGAGCGATCCTTCCCGAAGTGGCAATACAGATTTCTTTTATAAAGATTTATTTAAAATTATGTGTCTGTGTGTCTGTGTGTGAGTATGTGCATGTATGCAGGTGCCCTCAGAGGCCCAAAGAGGGCATTATTAGACCTCTCAGCTGGAGCCACAGGCGGTTGTGAGCCAGCTGATGTGAGAGCTGGGAACCGAACTTGGGTCCTCTATAAGAGCAGTATGTGCTCAGAACTGCTGAGCCATCCCTCCAGCCTCAGCTTTATTTTTAATTGAGATGTAATTATTATCATTTACCAGTTTGAGGTGTGTGTTTCACTGGTTTCCAGTATGTAGTCAGTGATGTGTTGGGCAGGTTTCTCTATTTCTTTATTGGGGGCTTTTGATATAAGGTCTCATATAGTCCACTCTGGCCTCGAACATGTGCCTTAATCCCCCACCTGCCTCTCAAGTGCAGGAATTACAGCTGTGAGCCACCGTGCCTGTGTTAGAGCATTCCATCTGCAGGAAAGAAACCTCATGGTCGCTGCTCCTGACAGCAGCCACTTGCTGCCTCCATGGGTTTGCCCGTTCTGGACATTTTCTATGAATGGACCCATTTAGTAAGTGACCTTGTGTCTAGCTTCCTTTAGTTAGCATTGTGTTTGCACGGTTTATACCTACAGTGTGCAACAGCATTTCCTTTCTTTTTGTGACTGTTTAACATCCATTGCATAGAGACATCAATTTCTTTTTAAAAACTGTGTATTCCATTCTTTCCTAAAGTTGTGTTGTAGTAGAGCCTTTAGGATTTGTTTGAGACCTGATGGGAGGCCATTGGCAGGAGGGTATGTACTTGGAAGGTGAGTCTCATAGGTCACATTAGTAGCTCCCACAAGAAACTCCAGTAGCTAGGCCTGATGGCTCATGCCTGTAATCCTGCTACTTAGGAGGCTGAAGCAGGAGGATTGCCATAAGTTCAAGGCACTCTAGTTTCCTGTTGCCCCATGAAAGGCCTGTTTAAGGCTATCCAAGTACCTCAACAGCAGTGTTTTCTGTTATGGGCTATAGATAGTGGGGACTGAGTGATGAGAAGTTAACATTTGCTAAGATGGTTTCTATACACTCTAATTTTAGCATGAAAGATGTGAGACTCTATTTGGCAAACTATTATCCAAATAAAGTTAGAGCAAAAAATGAATTTCTTAGGTTCATTTATGAAGTAATTTTATTCAGCTCTTGATTACATTTCCTGTGGAAGAGCGTGCTTCACACTTGGTGACTGACTCTCATTTAAAGAGAATGAATGGCCAAATTAAGCCAATGTCCTTCTGAGCGGTTTTCAAGTGCATGCTTTTCTGATTGGTTTTGTTTGCCTTGTTCAGTGGAGAGAATAATTCTTTGTGGCCAATTTCATTTTAAGAGGGCAATGTTGGGTGATTTTTTTATATAATTTAAAATATGAATAATTATGTTCCCTTGTTTGTGTTTGATGGAAACTTAGGGCTGAAATCTTGGCCTTTCCCTGCTCTGGCTCAGCATACTGCTGCCCAGGACGCTTTGACCAGATGTGCTGTGCTGGATGTCAGTCAAATCCTCTTTTCAGTTTTTACAACTGACTCTGCCTTTGTGAAGCAATGAAAAACTAGAGACTAAATTCAAAGGGGATTGTATTTCGCTTTCTTAAAGCACAGAACACCCTCAAATGACAGGAGGTGGACAGCTCTCTGTACAGTATTGGCTAGACAATGAAAAGTGGAGCACAGTGGTGCAAGCCTGTAGTCCTGTCACTCGGGAGCCTGAAGCAGGACGACCACTGTGAGTTCAAGGCTAGCCTGGGCTACAGTGAGCTCCAGGGCGGTCTGAGTTACAGAATGTTGTCATCCTGTCTCAGAAGATGGAAACAAACAAACAAACAAATAAGACCCTTTCAGAAATTTAATTAGATTGGAGTATATGTTTGTTTACTAATAGGAATTGGCTTTGCCCTGTGGTTTGGAAATGGCTGTTAAGCCCAATGTGGTGGTTTGACAGTTCCTAAGGCACTCGAGCCTTTATTTACTTCTTCAGTGCAGATCAATATTTTATGAAAGCAGCAGATATGCTGACCGCACCTTAAATAACATTAAGGAGTGGGAGCGGAGCAAGGAAAAATGGGTTTAGATTATGATACGGTGAATGAAAACATGATTTTTTAGTACTGGTGGCATTAAGACAGAAGTCTTTACAGCTAATATTTATTAAAGTAAATACACACTTTAGAGTGCTATGTATCATTGTTTTACTTGCTCAATCAAGTTGATGAAGAAGCTGAGGCTCAAGAAGGTTGACTGATTCCTAAGGTTACAAGTACACAAGGGACGGCGAGCTTGAACCAGACCACAAGCCTGCACTGTTACCACAGTGTAAATGAGAAGAGGCTGAGCCAGGCTGACCGCTGGAGGAAAAGCTCGCTCGCGCTGTGCCGGCCCCTTCCATACAGCGAGGGGTCGTGCTCCAAGCAGTGTGAGTGCCACGGCCTTTTCAAGAGGTTAGAAAGTAAGGCTGCATTTCTGATTTTCTTATTTTTCTTTTTAGTTTTGTCAGTCTTTCCAACAAGGATGGCATGGTTCATACGTGAATTATTTATAATAAGATAGAAAAAGCTCAAGAGTTTTTGAAGTATCCAAAGTTTCTGTGTGAAAACCTCAGTAAAGAGCGATAAAGACAGCGAGGCCCAGGCACACACATGAAGAAACAGGTAGTCCAGCTGGGAAACAAGGATTCGGCCTTCTACATAATTAAGTGAATATAAACTGAAGCCGCTGTGCAGCATGAGGTTTTCTTAGCAAATTAGTGAAAAACAAAAATAAATTATAAAACGTGAATTCCCAAAGCTGGTGCTCTGATTCATTTTTGATGGCATTTTAAAGTAGTGGTTAGAATAGAATAAATCATTCAGTAAATAAATATTCTTCTCTCCTGGCACAAATTTAGCAAACACTAAATGCTCATACTTTTTTCAGGATTATATTGAGAAATATATTTTATTAAACTAATTTGTATTAGACAAGGAAAACTTTTGCATTAAGTGCTTTTTTTTGTTAATCACAGAAGAAATAATAGCTGTTGAACAGAAATGTTGACTTAATATTTCCTTAAATTGATTAACCATGAGGAACTGGAGAGATGGCTCAGAAGAAAATATACTGCTCTTGAGAAACCCACAGCAGGCACCTCACAAACACCAGAGGCTAGACACCTCTCACAAACCCATACACATAGACGCACACACATACACATAATTAAAAATAAGATTTTAAGAAACTACTAACAGGAGAGACATATCTTAAATGTAAACACACCGCGAACTTACGTTGCACGATATGTCTAGCCCAGTCGTTTATGTGTGGTGGTCTGGTCCATAAGAACATGGGTCTTGATTGCTGGTTTTGTGGTTCAGAGAGTTGACCATGGGCTTCAGGAATATCAATCTGGCAGGCGCTCTGTCCCTGAGCCCTACTCACAGCCCTTACTTTGTTACTTGAGAAGGGGTCTCGCCAAGATGCCCTTGAACTCACTCTGTAGCCCAGGCTGGCTTTAAACTTGCAGTCCTCCTTCCTCAACCTCCCAAAACACTGAGCTTACAGGCCTATACCATCAGCTACTTGGAACCTGTATCTTTTATGTATGATTATTCTTTGGTTTTGCACTGGCCTACTTGGGAAAATAAGTTCAGTATGTACTGTTACAGATTCACTTAACTTTTTTTGTAAAGTATTCTTCATCTTTAAAAAAACTAAGGATGATGAAATTTAATCAGAATGTGATTTTGGGGTTTAAAATCCTATTTTAATGTTTGTTTATTTGCTATATTATGTGCCGGGGTATGTCATTTGGTAATGAATTGTTTTATAGGTATTCGCAGTTTTATCTGGAAGATAGCTTTTGCCACTACAACATGTTCAACCATCATTTCTTTGATGGAAAGGTAAGATTTATGGCCATCATCTCCTTCTGTTATTGTTGATTAACACATTTGAGAGCACCTTTTTGTTATAATTATCTTTTCGTGTATCTTCCCTGTTTTGTCTAGTGGTGCAGGGGATGGAATGTAGGGCCTCGGGTGTGCTAGACAGGTGCTCCACCTCTGAGTTATACCAGTCTCCCTCACTGCTTGTTACTGAGCAGCTAGGAGGGAAGCGCTGTTCCATTTTCACTGTTTTCCTTCAGACAGCGTCTCACTATATAGTCTGCCTAGCCTGCCGCTCACCACATGCAATAGGTTAGCTTGGCCTGGACTTAAGGGAATTTTCCCAGCCCTGCCTTCTAAGTGCAGGAATTACACTTGAGTGTGCCACACTCGGCAAGGCCCACAGGGCGCAATGGGCTCTGACTTCCGTTAACCTTTCCTGACTTACCTGTCCTTGGCCTTGATGTTTGTGTTGAGGATGCATGCTGTACACCTTCAGCTACTCCAGTGACCCCACCACAGGGCCTTTGCCCCATCTGGTCCCTGGCTTCTTTGCTCTGATGACTTTTAGAGCTCTGTTCCAAATCCAGCCTCCCCTGAACCCCTAGCAAGGGCAAATTCTTTGTTTTCTACCATACTGTAATTAAATGCATATTCCAGACAAGGACTGTATGTGAACTCCATACCTTTCTCTTGCTTTTCCATGACCTAAAGTTGTTATTAAAATAATAAGTAAGAGCTGGGTATGCTGACTCACTGAACCTTTAATCCTAGCGCTCAGGAGGCAGAGGCAGGCAGATCTTTGAGTTTGAAGCCAGCCTGGTCTACATAGCAAGTTCCAGGTATGAAATCCACCAAACTCAAGGGTCGCAATGAACAGCTGTTAGAGTTAGGCGTGTGCCACTGTTCCCAAAGGGTATCTCTGCATTTGAGAACTGATTCCATCTGTGTAGAGGACAATGGGAACTGAAGCCACCTACCAGCATTTTTTAGCTAGGCTAGTGACAGGAAGGAGGCAGGGGGTGGACTCTGCAGCCATTCCCAGGTAGCAGTCAAGGCCAGCCTGCTCTGTGAACCGCTCTGAAGAATATAGGGCAGGGGGAGGAGTGAGGCCTAGAAGTGCTATGTTGGTGTGGCTAATGGGGTACTGATGTGGGGTGGTTGGTGACCATTTGATGGGGGGCAGGGAGCCATGAGATTAGGGTAATGGGTGAGGAAGTGGTTTGCATCCTTGATGTCGCATTACTAGGCTAAGTAAAGTCTAAAGTTCCACGTAACTTTAAAAGCTTGTGCTTTTTGAATACTGAAGGTGTTGATTTGCCAACTGCTTCCAAGTCAGTAGACTAACTAGTAGTACCATACTATGATAGGTGTAGCTCTGTCAACGCGCTCAAAGCAGAAAGTGGTAAACCTCCTAGCTGTGGTTAGCTTGGCAGCTCCTGGAAACACCAGCAGCTTGGTGGGAAAGTGTGTTACTGGTGCAGTTTTCCAGGACCGGATGGGGTTTGCCATTTGTGGACTTGCTGTGCATGCTCCCCTATGTCTGCCGCTCACCTAGTACTCAGAGTGTGCATGCTTACCTGCTGACTCGAAGCAGTTCTTAAGCTGAACTTGTGGCAGTAGACAAGACAGACAGCAAAAACCACAGTTGGCCTCCTCGTGTCCTCGAGGCTCAGCACCGCCTCTGCTCCTGTTTGTTGAATTGAATGTGTAGGTTGTTTTCACGGGTGACAGCTTTCTCTTTTTTCGGGTTACTAAATTTAGTTCTTTAATTTCACTATTTGAAATGTGTAGTTGTCTGATAGTGATGGTATTTGAATTTGCAATTTAAAAACCTGCTTATCCAGGGACCCAAAGATAAAATCTGACGTGTGTGACTGAGAGACTTTGGTTGTCACTGAGGGACTCTGCAGTGGCAGGGTGACTTGGTGACGTTTCCAGTCCTGAGAGAGACCAAGCTTAATGCATCTCCCAATAGGATAAAGGGCTGGTTCTAATTTAGAAATGACTTTTTATTTGTTACAGGCTGCCCTTGAAGTGTGCAAGGCATTCTTACAGGAAGAGGAAGGTGAAGGAGTGATTATGGTGACAGACCCTCCTTTTGGTGGCTTGGTTGAACCTCTGGCTATTACATTCAAGAAGTTAATTGCTATGTGGAAAGAAGGTCAAAGCCAAGGTACTTTTTTTTTTTTTTTTTTTTTTTTTTAAATTGCTGTAAAATGAGCATGGGTTTATGTATCTGCTTCCTGCGAATACTAGCTAAGCCAGCACGGATGCAGTATGCAGCTCCTGGACTCTTTAAAAGCGTGTTTTTTTTTTTTTTTTTTTTACTTTAAATTGCTGTAAAATGAGCATGGGTTTATGTATCTGCTTCCTGCGAATACTAGCTAAGCCAGCACGGATGCAGTATGCAGCTCCTGGACTCTTTAAAAGCGTGTTGATTTGATCATGGCAGACTCATGATCCTGGGACACTTCCTTTTACCCTACTCATGTTTCCGAAGGGCTTCTCAGTTACACGGTTGTAAGGTTATGGAGCATTGTGAAGCACAACAGTTACTGCTGTCATTTGTTCAAAAATGCTTAGTGGCTGCTGTGTGTAGGCGCTGCTTAGATGCTAAGACTAGATTAGTGAGCTCCGTGGCCCTTACTTTTCCCGTCCCTAAAGTTTTTCTATTGCTGTGATAAAGTCCATGACCAAAAGCAACTTGGACAGGTAAGGGTTATTTGACTTACACGTCCTGAATCACAGTCCAGTGAGGGAAGCCAAGGCAGGAACCTAGAGGTGGGAGCTGGTGCAGAGGCCATGGAAGAGGCTGCTTACTGGTTGCCCCCCCCCGCCCCCCCCCAATGGCTTGCTCAACCTGCTTTCTTATACATCCCAGGACTTCCTGCCCAGGAGCAACACTGTCCACAATTGTCTGGGCCCTCCCGTATCAACCATGAACCAGGAAAATACCCCAGCAGCCAATCTCATAGAGACATTTGCTCAGTTGAGGTTCCCTCTTCCCAAATGATTTTAGCTTATGCCAAACACCAGAACATTATCATAAACACCAACCAGAACATTATCAACCTCAGGCCCAGAGCCTTGAATTTCAGCATGACTTAAACGGAGGTTGGACACCCAAGTGGGCAATCAACAGTAACAGAACGTAGACTCCTAGCTCTAGAGGTGGGTTAACAAGTGGGGAAATTTCTCAGTTTGAAGTGCCTGGAGACTTCAAAGTGTTTCATTCCATTATCCCATTAGTGAGTCCATTCAGTTTTAGATGGAGTTTCTAGCCTGTGAGCTGCTAAATTCCACGAGTGTCCGGGGCATGTGGTGAGGCCTCTCCACTAGCTGAGCTGTAAGTAGTGTGCTTCAGGGACAGAATTTCCAGGATTGTTAAATAACACTTATTATTCGCTGCTCTTACGATCAACTAATCAGAAGGGTAAAGGCTGTGCAGTGTTTAATCATGTGATATTTCCATTAACCTTTGGGAATGCTCAAGGCAGAATGGCGCTGTTGTAGGAATTCCCTTTCTGTGTGACAGACATATGTATTGAACAACTGAAATGTCTATTGAAAACTTTAGTTCTGTTTTTAGAATCGATTTCTTATTTTCTTTTATGTATGCATTTATGTTTTTTCTGTGTGATTCATTAGATGACAGTCACAAAGAACTGCCCATTTTCTGGATATTCCCCTATTTTTTTGAGTCCCGGATTTGTCAGTGTTTTCCAAGCTTCACCATGCTGGATTACCAGGTATAGTAACACCGGTGCCGCTGGGGAATGGTTGTGCTGCTGGAATATTCTGAAAAGACTAGCCTTTGATTTTAGTAAATTAAAGTGTTTTGAACTATATAAACAACGAAATTATACTGTGTATAGGCTACTTCTGGCTCCTAGTGTCTGCAACTTCTAGGGTACTTGCTAAAAATACAGATTCTTGAGTATGCCCACTCAAAACAAAACAGAACACCCTTGCCAAATAAAATCACAGAATAAAGCCCTAAAAAAAAAATGCTTTTTCAGGTATCCCAGATGAGCGCAGAGTGCAGCTAGGGTTTTAGATCAGTTGATCTACTCTTTGGTTGGCACCATCCCCAGGACCACATAGGAATGTTGCTGTGTTCCATTCACAGGTTATCGGAAAGTAGTGGGGTGTCTAGAGCAGCGGAGATCTGTGTGTGAGTGTGCCGGCCCTTGACGTGAGCATCTCCGAGATTACATACAGGCCAAGGCCCAGAAAGTTCCACTCTGCCTCAACTTCCTTTCCTGGGGTTCTAAAGTTAACCCTGTTGTCCCTAGTACTTGGTGTGTTCACCAAGTTAGCACTGTTTCTTCTGTGTACTCAGTTGTCCTTTTGAGATTTCAATAATTGACTGACTGAAGTTTTCAGCCATGAAATTGTAAACGTCTTTCCCAGCTGTTGCAAGACAGCGGTGTCTCTCATCTGTCTGCTCTCAAAGGCACGTGCTGTCGTGAAGATTATATTGAAGGGACGGGGGGGGTGGGTGGGGGGGTGTGGCTCGGGGGGGGGGGGGGGGGGGGGGGGGGGGGGGGGGGGGGGGGGGGGGGGGGGGGGGGGGGGGGGGGCTGCACCTACAATGCCAGTTTTAAAAGACTTTCTGGAATTCTTCTCTGTTCTTAAAAGTACATACTTTTAGAAGTAGCTATATAATCTTTATTTAATAATTTCTAATTACTTCCTTCTTTCTTGTGTTTCTTCTGTCTTTAAGGCACTACAGATGAAACTGCTGTAAGCATTTCTGATGCATAGAATTTTTACATAGTAGAAATTTTGAATATTGGATTATTTTCTCAGGTGTGGTGGACATTTCTGTGGATGTCGGGCCATATTAACAGGGTCCTTTCAAAAAGTGGGTAGTGTAAGCCATTTCAGCCTTGACTTCTAGGTAAAATATAGCCTACATCATGGTTCCCTCCACAGCTGTTTCAAGCTTACAGGGTTTTGTTCTTGTTTGAGTGAGGGCTGTTTCTAGAATTGGCATTTGCAAGGCAGACACAGCCGACTTAATCTAAAAACGTTCACTAACTAAACTGGTTCCAGTCTCAGTGGCACCTGCTGCCTTTGGAGGAAGTGGTACCCTGGTGTGATGGTTGGCGCACAGTAGGTTTCCCGTGTATTTCAAATGATTGAATGAAAAGATCACAGACTCTGGTATCGAGGCCGTCTGGGTCTTAGTCTTGACTCAGCTGCTTAGGTTCTCTGACACACTCCTATCTGTGAATTGAATGTGGTGATGGCGGTGATGATGGCGATAGTGCTGTTAGTAGCTACGATGACAGATGGCTCATGAGATAATGTATGGACAGTGGAACCAGTCTCCACACTCGTAGAGTCCGGGCTGTTATCAGCATGGTCATCATTCAGGTAGTCCCAAGTAGGCAGAACTTTTTCTCAGCCTTTTCCCCCCCTGTTTATCTGTGAACATAACACAGGTACCTGGAAGGTGGTTGCATCTGTATACAAAGAAGTAGCAAGAATTTGAAATGGTGATGGGGCAAAAGAAGGCAGCTCTTTAATAGGGTAGACAAATTATGTTAATGTAGACTTGACATTTCCATGTCTCTTTCTTTGCCTGCCTGTGTCATTAGGAAAGGGCTTTGGGGAATAGTTGACAGCCTAAGCTTACTGGAAATAATTGTGCAGTTCACTATGTCATTGAAAAAAAAGTTCAGATTAGAGCATGTATATCTGTCTGGGAGCAAAGCAGTGATTTTCATAGAACAGAAGCCAACCGCTGGAAAGAAGAATGAGAATAAGATCTGTAAGACAGAACATAGCATGCCTGAGGCCCCAGGTTCAGTCCCCAGCACCGCAGACAAATCTAAATCAAACAAAAACTGCGTGTCTCCTGTCCTGCATTTCAGGTCTTTTCACATAGCTCCAACCCTGCCCCAACCGTCACCAAAGCCACAATAAGACTCCAAGTCACAACATAGTAAAAAAGTTAAAATAAAATGCCATAATCGCTGGGCGGTGGTGGCGCACGCCTTTAATCCCAGCACTCGGGAGGCAGAGGCAGGCAGATCTCTGTGAGTTCGAGACCAGCCTGGTCTACAGAGCTAGTTCCAGGACAGGCTCCAAAGCCACAGAGAAACCCTGTCTCGAAAAACAAACAAACAAACAAAAAACAAACAAAAAAAATGCCATAATCACTGAATCTTTTTATAGGGTTAGGGAGGGTACTTTTCAGATAAGTGGATGGCTCAAATGCTGCAAACCTTCATGAAATATAAATCACGAGGACTTCACCAATTAAGTACTTATTAAGTTCTTGATAAACAGACAATAAAATAGTTATCAGAAACTGAGAAACCTAATTGCAACTTCATGAAGGGTGAATTAGGAAGGAGGTGAATTCCAATTTAGAGTTAGAAGACTGAGTTTCAGCACTGCCTGTAGAGTCATGTGACCTGGGATGATCAGCTGGCTTTCCAGATCTCTGTGCCTCACCCATAAAGTAAATGCCTGGAAGAGCAGAGGGATGGCAGGCAGGCTCCCCTCGCAGCGCAGCCTCGCTGAGCCTGAGACTCCTCTAGTAGTGACTGTCTAGATCTAATCAGAGAATGCCAGGCTCGTGTGACAAGCTAGCAGGATTGATTAGTGATATCTGCCACGGGATGAAGAGCTAGGAGCTGGGTCAGGAGTGGCAGTGTTCATGTGATTATCACATCCCAGTGAGATGGTTTCACAGTTCGAATGTTCTCTCATGTCACTTCATATCCTAACATGGAATGCATCTCATGTATTGAAAATAGAGCTATTTGCTTTGAAAAGCTATTTTTTTATACTCAGCCTGTGTAGGAAACCTTTTCTATCTTATTTTTTTTTACAATAGAAAAGAAAATATTTTGATAGGAATTTTGAGAAATTATTGAATACTAAAAGATGGCAACTTGGGCACGTCTATAATCCCAGCACTTGGGAGGCAGAGGCAGGCAGATCTCTGTGAGTTCCAGGCCAACCTGGTCTACATAGTGAGTTCCAGGACAGCCAGAGCTACATAGTGAGACCCTGTCTCGAAAAAAAGGGGGAAAAAAGAGGCAACCACATTCTTGAAACTTAGTGTGTAGTAAAGACTTAGTAGGGACTGAGTAAAAAGCAGGATGAGGTCAGTGTGGGAATTTTAAGTCGGGGTTCCAAGGACATGAGGTTAAGGCTGACCGTGGCGGTAGGAGCTGAGGCATGGTCTTGAGACCTTAGTGAAACGATACAGAGCAGTTGTACGAATGCCAGGGTGGCCCGGCGTGCTGCCTGGAACATAGTAGGTACAACTACGGCCTCAGTGTTCCATATAACTAGTTTCAGTCTCATATTTGCGTATGGCTCAAATTAAAAGTTGGGAATAGCAGAGATTTTCGTGCTTTCCCTCATTTCTATACAGTACTTCATCACATTAATCAGTTCTGTGGGAGAGATTTTCCGTTTGAAAATGCCTCTCATCATCATTGTGAGTGAGATGTCAGGGATAATGATGGGAACATGGTGGATCAGCTCTAGCACTAGCGAGAGGCAATTTGCAAAATTGTGTTTGCTTTACAGCACTTCCACGGGAGGTTTATTTGTGTGGATGAAGCTATGAAATATGGATGTATGTTAGAGGTACATTAATTTACTCTAGCAGCATGCGTTTTACATACCATATGTTTATAGTTAATTAGCACAACAAACCCGCATTTAAAAATAATAATAATCTCAATTAGGTTATGCAAAATGGAGCAATCAGCCACCTTCGTGACACATGCATTCTCCGGCTCCTTGGGAAGCCATAAAGAAACTGCCCCTCCATCTGCTGGTATAGTGCACAGAGCGTCCCACACAGTAGAGTCTTCCCACACTATCACTCTCCAGCATTCAAAATCATCATAACATTCTCTTGGGAAGAATGGTTTTTCTTACGATACTCGCAAGTTTATGTGCAAAATATCTTTTGTTGAATTTAATAAGGTGCCACATGTATTCGAGTTCACAAAGGAGTGCACTGGGGAGACATTATCAATTTAAATCCCTTTAAAAGAAAATTACTTCAACTACTATTTTAGGTTGATTTTTTTAAGTAAAATCTATTTTCGTGTCTTGCCTCTAATAGGTAACATATATACAAAGGATTTTGGAAGTTGGGAAGAAACGTAGAGGTTACCTGGGCTGACTTCCCGATGTAATAATCCTCTTTGCCAAATTCATGACAAACACTCATCCAGCTTCACTCGGATGCTTTCGGGGCGCAGAGCCCCACAGCCTTACAAGGCAACTCAATTTATTTAATAGCTCTAATCGTTAGAGAATTTTCTCATATTGAGATAAAATATGCTCCCCATTAACTTCTAACCATTGCTCCTGGTTCTATTCTCCGAGGCAATAAAGGATAAGTCTAATTTCTATTCCATATGATACCCTTCAGTTATGAACTAGCTGTCAGTTCCTCCCTGTCTTTTCTGAGCAAACATCCCCAATTTGTTAAACTATAAATCCTGTTCATTGCTATTATTTTCAGTAGAAATGAGCCGGTTTTATCAGTGTCTCTCTTAAAATGTGGGAACTGAGCATAGGGCTGCAAATGCCATCTAACTTAGTCTGCCCTTGTTGGGATGCTGCGCATAAGTAGAGGTCTCCAGCCACCCTTCATGGACCATAAGGCATGACTGAGGATGCCCCTGCTGGCAGCCAGTCAGAAACCCTGGGGGCTTTTCACCTGACCCTTGCCCTGCCCTCACCTCATCTACTTAGCTTCTGCTCACTGCTGAAGCTTGTTAGTGAGCCTTAGGGAGTGCAGTTACTTGTAAATCTGTAACACTGAGTTAAACCAGAGCTGTGGAGAGAGGCAAGCAGTGTAACTTTAAAAGCCTGGCCCTTAACAGTTGGCTGAAGTGTGGAGACCAAGTATTCAGCCCTAAATGGGACTTTTTATTCCTTTTGATATTTCAAAAAGCTTTTTACTTGGTCCACGACTTTGTGGGTGGGAGCTCCAGGGCAGTTACAAAGCTGCCTAGTGGCTTGAAAGGCTCCAAGGGAGGTCCTGAGTCTGGTGGTGCAGAGTGGAGAAGGGAGCCCTCTTGGAAGGCAAGGCCTCCTAGTCATTGAGAGTGAGCCGCTCCAAGAGACACCCCGTGCCCAGAGATGGATGCCTGGGGCATTGCTGTCTCTATTGGCTGTGGCCTAGCCAGCCTGCGGAGCTTGGTCAGGTGGTGTCTCATCTTCTTGCTGAGTTTCACTTCCTCATCCAGGAAGTGGTTTTCCAACAAGTCACAGAGGTGAGGGTCTGTGCAGGCAGGATCCAGGGAATGCAGGTCCAAGAGGGCCTGATTCGGGTTTTTCTTCAGGGCCAAGGCAGCTTCCATGGCCTCCTGGGTTTTATCCCACTTCTCTTGAGGTGGCTGCTGCCCATCCTGGAGAAGTGCACCCCGCAATTGTTCTGCATCTTGAATTGGTGCCCTCATAACCTGAGCTCATAACAATCTCCTGGCATTCTTGGGGGTGATCTAAACCAGTGCTTCTCAAACTTGAGTGTGCGGGGTGGGCTTGCTAAAACCAACTGCTGGGCCCCACTCCCAAAGTTTCTGATGCAGTTGGTGCTCGGTTGAGTAAACATTTGCACTTCTAGCAGGACCCAGGTAATGTTGGTGTTGCTCAAACACTTTGAGTGTTACTGAGCTAAAAACAAAAACAAACCAGATTTAGTAGCTACCTGGATTTACAACAGATCAAAAGCCACCCTGAGAATGTAAGTGGGTAATAGGCTGAAGGAGGACAGGGAATTTTAAGTATAAAACAATGCTTGTTGGCCTGTCCAGATAATCGGCTGAAATGCCAAGTTCCGACGTTAGGGGAGGTCAGTGTCAGTGTGGAGCGGAAGCACAAGTGTTCTCACTTCTTCTTCTGCCTTATACCAGACTCTGGGCTGAGTATTGACCTTCACAGCAGCTCATTTTTTTTTTTTTTTTTTTGAGACAGGGTTTCTCTGTGGTTTTGAAGCCTGTCCTGGAACTAGCTCTGTAGACCAGGCTGGTCTCGAACTCACAGAGATCCGCCTGCCTCTGCCTCCCGAGTGCTTGGATTAAAGGCGTGCGCCACCATCGCCCGGCTCTCACAGCAGCTCTTAACATCAGGATCCTTGGCCCCTTTTAAAGTTTAAAAACATTCACAAGGTTGTCTAAGGTCATCTAACAAGTGACAGCCCTCGTCTGGCACCTAACCTCTGTCCATTGCAAAGTAGAAGGACAAGTCAGGGGTGGAAGGCCAGACTGAGGATGCACTTTGACTTGGTGAATGACGAACATTTCTCCAAGGAAGTGGAACATCTCAGTGACACTGGCATCTTCAAACGAAGGCCTTGTTTTTAGCATCAGAAATAAAGTTCTCAATTACAGACCAGAATTTCTTATGGAGCCTTTTAGATGGAGTTAGAGTCATTTCCCTGGCCCACCAACATGAGTGTGTTGTAACACATCTTACCCTTGTTGTAATGAGATGTCCCTGCCATGGAGGCCTCTCGAGGCTGGCTGTGAGTAAACTTGCTTTTCGGAGTTTCTTATTTGCTACTCGCTTCAGCCTGTATCTTGGCATCAGTTTGTTTATTGGTTAAAGGGGCTTAGAGAATGTTGGCTCATTTGAGTGAATTGTCTTTTTACTTTCTAGGTAGACTATGATAATCACACACTCTACAAACATGGAAAGACAGGTCGGAAACAGTCTCCTGTGCGGATTTTCACTAACATTTCACCCAACAAAATAATCCTTCCTGCGGAAGAAGGGTACAGGTGAGACCACTTTGAACTTCCCAGGTCATCTGAAAATGCAATTCTGTGTACCTCACAGTAAAATGCTTTCAATATTGAATCAGTTGGTTCTTGTATTGCTCTTAGATTTGGTCCCGAATTTCACATTGAATTGAATTCTGATTACCTTCAATTTTTGGAGCAAGAACCTTGTTCACGTTTGTCCGTTCTGTGAATCTCAATGAATCCATGCAGCTCCTTTTTTGTTTCTCTCTTTAGATTTTGCTCTCTCTGTCAGAGATATGTTTCTCTTGAGAATCAGCACTGTGTGCACTGTAATTCCTGCACATCCAAGGTATAGTTCTCTTCTGTAAAATTTTTTATGTGTTTGTTGTATGTTAGTTTGATAATTTTATTACTCTTAAAATGTTTTGTTGCCTGGCGGTGGTGGCACACACCTTTGATCCCAGCACTTGGGAGGCAGAGGCAAGCAGATCTCAGTGAGTTCAAGGCCAGCCTAATCTACAGAGTGAGTTTCAGGACAGCAAAGCTGCAATACAGAGAAACCCTGTCTGGAAAACAAAACAAAACAACAACAACAACAAAAAGTTTTGTTACTACTTAAATTCATATGTATTATCACCTCCTATATCTTAATATAGTAGTACCTTATTTCTAATTAAAAATTTAGTAGTCTTAAAAATACCTTGTGTGTGGAAGGTGTATATGTGTAGGCACATGAGGAGGTCAGAGGACTACTTGCAGGAGGCGGTTTTCTTCTTCTAACATGTGGGTTCCGTGAATCAATTTCAGGTCATCAGGCTTGGTGATGCCTTTACCACTTAGCCATCTCTCCAGCCCTAAAACAGGCTTTTTAAGGTACTTAATTTCTTTCATCATTGTAAATAGCTATTTCAATCATTTTCATATGGTACTTACCAAGAGTGTTTCAAATAAGGCACTAAGTGCTGAATTTATATGTCTGTTAAGGGTAAAATTACGATGTTTCAAATCAGGCATTGGACCATTAGGTAGCATTGCTGCTCTGATGAAGCAGTGATTAGTAGCATGTACTGTGCACTTTTTATGTGCCAGGCTTGTTCCTCAGAGCTTTGCATGGGTTAACACTTTAGTCCTCAAGTATTCCCCGAGAGGTAGGGGTGGTTACTCTCTGCTCTTTTACAGCTGCTGCAGAACAAGAGACCTGTCTCCTGTTGATGGGTTTAGTTCTTGTGCTTTTCTCCAGAGCCTTTGTTTTTGAAAGCGTTTTAGATTTGCTGCACAGTGAAACAGAAGGTACTGAGATGCGTATATCCTTCCTATTCCCTGCACAGCCTTCTTTCATTAGTGTCTGGGACTGGGGTATACCTTGGGTGATGGTTGATGAACCCACTTATTTTTCACCCCAGAGTCCATGTTTTACTTTGAGTTTCACTTTTGGTGCTGTGTATTCTTTTAATTGGGTGAATATATATATAAAATGGCTGGCTTCTGCCACCCTGGGGTCATGCAGCGTGACTTCACTATGTTCCCTGAAAATTTATGCACTGCTTGGTCACCCTTCCCTTCCCTAACCTCAGGCAACTGATCTTACTGTCTCTATAGAGTTCTACCTTTTCCAGAAAGTCATAATGTTGGAGTCACACAGCATGCGTGCTGCTTCTCAGACTGGCTTCTCAGCTGAAAAGGCCATCTGAAGCACCTGTCTGTCTTTCCGTGACTAAATGGCTCATTCTTGTTAAGGACTTGCCCTTGCCTGGGTATATTACAGTTAGTAACCATTCACCTACCGAAGGACATCTTGCTTGCTTCCTACTTTGAGCAATAATGACCAAGCTTCCTGCTTATTTTTAAGGAGACAGGAGGATGACCTCTCAGCCACTTTGTTCGTCTTTACTCAGTTTACTCAGAAAGAACATATGGAGCTTAACTTTTCTAAACAGCACAAATCATTTTCCAAAGAAAAGTTTAGGTTCATACAACTATTTTCAATTAATTTAGAAATGGTTTGTATTATGTACAGGTTGTATAAAGTTTAAACTTGAGGGAGAAAAAACTTATTTAGAAATATGCACATGAGTGATAAATATCAAGACTAGGGAAATAAGGGTCACAAAAATCAGAGCAGGTCTCTCCAATGGGAAGGAAGGATGCTGTGGTGAGAAGCTACACCGGGAGGTTTTCGGGGCTCAAGAGGCCCCAATTCTTGATAGGCAGTTATTTTAATATTCGTAAAGTGCACATATGTATTGAATGTACTTTTATAGGTATGTTTTATTTCACTTTTTAAAAAAATAACTCAAGTAGTAACCTGTAATCTATCTTGCTAAATTACACGAAGCTCTCAAATATGAATTTCATTAAGGGCTATGTAGTATAGAGAACATAAAATTATGGAATCATTAATTCTCTTGAAATTTTCATTTGCGTCCTTCTTTGTGAAGATTGGATGGCTTGAAGCAGAGTGGATTTTCAAGATCATTTGGATAAATCTAGTTTCATAGTTAAGGAAATTGAGGCCCATCAAGGAGGCATTTGAGTTAAGTGGAGAAAATGCATAAATTAGAATCAGAGTATTTAATTGTGAAGCCCAGGAAAGGGAGAAATAGGGAATGAATAATTTACACATATTTTAATAAGACATTTTAATTTTTAATTGTGGAACTTGGCTTTTATAACGAATTGAACATTTTAAAATTTGTTTTTGTAGGATGGCAGGAGATGGAGCCATTGCTTTCTCTGCAGAAAGTGTGTAAAACCTTGTAAGTGTCCGAGATCCAGGGGAAACATGTTTAGTTCTGCTCACGTAAATAGAATTTTTATTATATTCATAAAAGGAAAATAATGCAGAGACCGACATTGACTTTTGTAATTACCTGCACACATGTCTTTCACGGGAAAGCTGACTGCTAGCCTACGTCAGTGTGGCATCTGGCTCCACTGGGCACTGTGCCTCTGAGCCAGCCTCTACTGTGGGTGGCAGCTGCTGTCAGCTCATGATGTATTGGGCAAGGGCTGAATTTGTTTGCTTTATAACAGAAGTTACTTGTTTATGTGGGATTCGAACACTTCACCTTGATCTCTTTAGCCAAATTAAAATGAGCTAAGCCCACCAGCTACAATATTTGAAGTAAACATTATTCCTGTAGCCTACCTCAGAAGTTAATGAAATGAAAAATCATGTTAATGAACCTCTTCTGAAACTCAGTTTTTCTCTTACAGCCTGGATCCATTGTAGCACCTGCCATCGCTGTGCGCTCCCCGATCATTCCTGTGCGGGCCCTAGAGATGGCTGCTTTATTTGTGGTGCATTGGATCACAAACGCAGCAGTTGTCCCAACATCGGCGCCTTGAAGAGAGCTAAGAAGTTAGTTGAGGTCTTTTACTTTCTAGGAAAAAAAAAAAGATTGCTGACGTCAAGCTTTCCAGGAGCTATGTAGCTTTGGGGCCTGTCCTGGAACTAGCTCTTGTAGACCAGGCTGGCCTCGAACTCACAGAGATCCGCCTGCCTCTGCCTCCCGGGTGCTGGAATTAAAGGTGTGCGCCACCACCGCCCAGCTGAAGTTGTAATTTTATTGTAATTGTAATTCAGACTTCACTTTAGGAAATGATACTCGGGTCCGGCTGTATGCGAGGACCAGGGCAGACACCTGGTGGCAGGAGGAGACAGGCATCTTGGATGGAATGGGGCCGTTCCATAACAGAAAAGTGTGAATTCCAAAGCAGAAAAGGGCTGAATTGATTGTATTATAACAGGAGCTACCAGTTTCTGTGGGATTCAAGCCCAACAGCTTGATCTCTTTAACCAAATTGAAATGAGCAGAGCAAACAAGCCAGAGTATTTGAAGCAAAGCTAGTGCTAGTTAATTCTGTAAACTCTGCCACCTCTTACGAACATTTACATGTGCTTTCTACTTAAATAAATAGCTAAATGCTATTTCCTCCATGATTGTTTTCACATCTCCCACCAACATTTGACAGTCCAGTTGCAGGGTGGTGGTGGTCCACGCCTTTTATACCATCACTCGAGAGACAGAGCAGGCAGATCTCTATGAGTTCGAGGCCAGCCTGGTCTACAGAACCAGTCCCAAGACAGATTGAGCTGTTTGTTACACGGGAAACCCTGTCTTGAAAAAGAAAAAAAAAATCAGTAATTATAGCATGTTTATGTATATATACCCACTGGGTTATTGCAAGTGATATATTTCTATTTGAACTATGTTTGAGTGATTTTCCTGCATGCATGGTATGTGTCACATGAGTGCCTGGCGCCTGAGAAGGCCAGAGAGGGCATCAGATGCCCTGGAGCTGGAGATAAAGGCTATTGTGTGCTTCCACATGGGTGCTGGGCAGTGAACAGGGGTCCTCTGGAAGAGCAGCCTGTGTTCTAAACCACTGAGCCATCTCTCTAGCCCCTGAATGCACATTTTTTAAAAAATTAAAATTGATGATAGGAATCACATCTTCTTGCTTGAGTGATTTAAATTAGAAAACAAGATAGAACCTTGGTGTCACATACTTCGTGCAGATGACGAAATAGCTAAATTTAACATTGTGTGAAAATTGAGATTATGGTTAAAAATTTTGCCTGATGATATTGATAAGACAAAAAGTTTGACAAGTATTTGAAGTTTTTGTTACTATGATTATGTTATAGTTGTTTCTGTCTATTTATTTGTTTATAGCCAGAGGGACTTTTTCCATACAGTTCCAGTGTGTTGAACTGTGATTCCTATTTAGAATGCCTTTTTCATAAACTTACTTTGTAATTATTTCTACTGAGTAGTTCAAGGTAGAAGAATACTTTTAAAAAACTAATTAAGCCGGTAGTGGTGGCGCACGCCGGTAGGATTTGCTGAAGGAGGCAGAGGCAGGAGGATCACGAGTTCGAGGCCAGCCTGGGCTACACATTTTGCCGGGCATTGGTGGCGCATGCCTTTAATCCCAGCACTCGGGAGGCAGAGGCAGGTGGATCTCTGTGAGTTCGAGACCAGCCTGA